TACACCAATAGCATACACCGAACTACTTAAAAAACATGTTTTTTATTGATTTCAGACAAGAGGGGAAAGGGATAGAGAAACATCACTGATGAGAGAGAATCACTGATTGGCTACCTCCTGCATGGCCCCGACTGGGGATTGAGTCTGCAACCTGGGTATGTGCCCTGGCCGGGAATTGAACCAAACACTGAGCCACCCCGGCCGGGCTATGCCAAACTGGCTTTTCTCCCTGGGCTCTGGGTGTGGTCTGTCTCCCTGATTGAGTTTTAAGCACCTTCAGAACAGGGATCACGCCTGACACCACATTTGTCCCACACGGACTATTCTAGAAGGCGCTGGGCAAAGAGCCGGTGCTCAGCAGACAATGTGGAGTTCACTTTCCATTTGGAAGGCCATGAAGACAACACCCCCCGCTGGAACCGTCTAAAGGACAGACACCTCCTGAGCTGTCACCGAGAGCTCTGGGTCGGGCCCGGGGAGATGATCCCTGGGCTCACGAGGGCCGAAAGGGGATCTGGCCACACGTCACATGTGTGCGTGGGACGTGGGAGGAGGCCAGTGAACTCTGAGTCAAAGAATTGGTGTAAACAAACCAAGCGATCACATGCCCTCCTCTCTGCCCCTGCCCACGGCTGGTCCAGGGCGGGCCGCGGGCTGGAGAGGTGGGGAGGGCGGACGCCTGGTGATGTGGCTCGCACCGTGATCAGGGCGCCCTCTCCCATCGCCTCCCAGTTTTCTCCGTGGCCAAGGGCAGGCCCTGGGCTAGAAGAGCAGCTGACAGACAGCAGAGCCGAGCTGGCGCAGGGGGAGGGGATGGAAAACGTGGTGCCCGGGCCCACCCTGGGGAGGCATTGTGTTCAGAGCCCAGTGTGTGCAGCCTGGCAGGCCTGTGGGAGGCGCGCCCAGGCCTTCAGCGCAGTGCCCAGGCCAGGGTGGATTCTGCCTGCGTCACAGCTCTGCAGAGGGCATGGCCCTCCCAGCCATGTCCCCATCGCCGCCCGTCCTCCCTCGTGATCCGGACGGACCCTGGGGTCCCCGGGGCGCAGGGGCCACCCTCCCGGTTCCAGGTTCCAATGACAGTCAGGAGACGCCCCATAGGCCGCGTGTTCCTACCCCCGCAGGCCCCCGTTCCGTTGGTGAGCGCCATGCCTGTGACCAGGTTGCAGGCATGAAGCACCTGAGTTTCCAGACCTTGTACGTGCTCCCCTCATGGAGCAGGTGAGCAGGAGGTGGCACCATGCCTCGTGCGTCCCAGCCCGTTTCCGAGGTCTCCTCACTCGGGAAGCGATCTCTACGGCCACAGCGCACACCAGTCCTGAGAAGGGGCTGCCTGGTTTTTCTGGTCTGGGAAAAGACAGACCTGTTTAGCCAGATGACTTCATCTCTACTCCAGCGTCTGCGGGGGTGGGGTGGGGGGCGGGGACTACAACAGAAGACAAGAAA